TAAGACTTCCCCCTGAACACTTTGGACTTCTGATGCCATTAAGTCAGCAGGCTAAGAAAGGAATAACAGTATTAGGAGGGGTGATTGACCCAGACTACCAGGGGGAAATTGGACTTGTTCTCCACAATGGAGGTAATTAAGATTGTATCTGGAAGGCAGGAGATTCCTTAGGATGACTTTTGGTGTTACCATGTTGTGCTGGATAGCTTTAGTGTCAACTTGACACACCTGGGTTGAGGGAGCCTCAATTGGGGAATTTCCTCCATTGGACTGGCCTGTGGCCATGTCTGTGGGGCATTTTCTTGATTGTTGAGTGATGTGGGAGGGCCCATCCCACTGTGGGTAGTGCCACCCCTGGGCAGGTGGGTGTGTGTTAGATAAGAGAGCAAGCTGAGCAGGGGCCAGGGGAGCAAGCCAGTAAGACTTCTCCCTGGACACTTTGGGCTTCCGATCCCCTTAAGTCAGCAGGCTAAGAAAGGAATAACAGTATTAGGAGGGGTGATTGACCCAGACTACCAGGGGGAAATTGGACTTGTTCTCCACAATGGATGTAATGAAGATTATATCTGGAAGGCAGGAGATTCCTTAAGGCGACTTTTGGAAGACACATATTCTGTGATTAAGGTCAATGGGAAACTACAACAACCCAATCCAGACAGGACAACAAATGGCCCAGACCCTTCAGGGATGAAAGTATGGGTCACTCCTCCAGGGAAAGAGCCAAGACTTGCAGAGGTGCTTGCTGATGGTGGAAGAAATAGAGAATGGGTAATAGAGGAAGGTAGTTACAAATACCAACTTAGGCCACGTGACCAGTTGCAGAAACGTGGATTGTAATTGACATGAGTATTTTTGTCCTATTTGATTAAGAATAGGCTTTACATGTATACACATGTGTTAAGCAGATACTTGAGTTATTCTTTTTTGAATGTGTAATTGAGATAAGTGTTAAGTAGTTAAGTGATGTGAACCTATATGATTATATTGGGTTATGAGACACTAAGGACTAAGCATTCCTTGAAGACCTTATCACCTACTCTAAGATATATAATGCATTGGTCATTGTATGATGAGATAGTTATATCATGTTAGGTGAAATTATGACCTCAACATTGTTTTTATTTGAAAATTAAGCATGACAGAGAGAGATGCTGTTGGGTGTCAAGTTGACAAAGGGTGGACTTGTGATGGCTAATCCTGGGTGTCAACTTGACTGGATCTGGGATTAACTGAAAAGAGAGAGATCTTAATTGGATCATCTGAAGCTGGAAGACATGCCCTAAATGTGGGTGTTACCTTCTGATGGCAGCCCATATAAAAGGCCAAGGCAGAGGAGAACGCCTGGCTTCTTGCTGCTTGCCTTCTCTCTCACTGGTGAGTTCGTCTTGCTGCTGTAGACTGAAGACTAGCTGACCTTTTGGAACTTGTCAGACCTTCAGCGCCAGATTGGGACTACTGAGACATCCAGCCTCGTGGGCTGAGTGACTACGGATTCTCAGCCTCTCCAGTGTGGTGCAGCCATTGTTGGACTACTCGGACTCTATCCTGTGAGCTAAGCTGATAAATCTCTATCCATGTATATTCATTCTACTGGTTCTGTTTCTTTGGAGAACCCTGACTAATACATGGGTCTAGAAAACAGGCAGAAAAAAAAATGTAGCAGATAGAAAGGAATTACTACAGAGTGTTTTAGACCCAAATAGAATAAATTATTGGACTAAGGCAAATATGGCTTATTCCTTTCCAAGTCAGGGGAAAAAAATCAGTAATTTAAATTAACAGAGATAAAAGTCTAAGTTTTGTATTTTGAAAAGACCCAGGGTTTCTGTTGTTGGTATTCTTTTGTGAGTTTACCGTGTAAGCCATTAAACCTTTTGTTGGTCTAGGTTTACTAAACAATTGCTTATTATTACAATTCTAAATTGCTTATTTTTAAAAATAGAGACATCTATAGTTCTTAAGCTAGAAAGCCCAAAGTAATATTATAAATATTCATCATTACTTTATCTGTGATGAATTCATCTTAGTCTATGTCAATTTATTATAAATTATGTAATTATAAAGCAAACTACCATGATTTTATGATATGTGACTTTCCACAACCCTAATAAAAATACACCATTGTGTCTTTAGCACTCTCATACAGTGATAGAAACTCCAGAAAACTCCTCTACACTGGAACACCAGCAGAGTGATCATCAGGTTTGAAAGCCTTAATCTTAAAGAGCTACATAATTCATATTTAGTAATCAGGCACATTAATGTCTCCATCTCCCTATAGTCATTATTATTAACCCTCTCTTTGCTCAGGTGTCTGTGCACTCTAGCCTTTCTTACATTTCCTGTAGAAAGGTGATGTTCTCTTTCTCAGGCAACTCAGAATATCAGTAGTGCACTCAGAGTGTTAGAGGATTTGTGCACACATAGATCCCTCATGGCAAAGATAAGACAGATTGCTATTCCAAGGTTAACTCTACTCTGGGTTTGTTGTGGTTGTAATTTTTTATGTTTTGTTTACATTGGGAGAAGCTTCTCAGTATTCTCCCAGACCAAAGACTTTTTACTGAATCAGCAGTTTCATGATTACATTAGCATTCAAAGGTTGGGAATATTGATCATATTGATCAATAACCATGAATTATCTGAATATGTTATCAACAGAGGCAAGCTTGACTTTCTGAAGGCTTGACCTATAATTTCTTCATTTTCCTTTTTAGTTACATTATTTTTCAAATAAGTTCCAAAACTATAGTTATATTTTACTTCCTTCCCAATTTAGCTATATTTTCATTTCATAAAAGTTTTGGTGAAAAAGTTGTGGTAATTAACCTGGAGGAGCTAGGCAAAGAGACCTTCAGTTATTATGCCTGTACTATATTTACTTGTTCAGTATATAAAAATGGTGAATAAAAATGGTGGAAGCCCAAGTGTATCAAAGTCTGAATTGTAGTTTCTTGAAAAATACTCTGCTATGACATCCCCCAAATACCTTTTCCTAAGGAGTGTGAATGTGTTTTCTCCATGTTGACAGTAGTAATTTGTACTTAACTATGATATTTGGTGATTTAGTGCATCCATAAATTATATGAGGAGCATAGTTCTTAAAAGATTCTCGTTTTCCTTCAGCTCTCCAGTGTTCCTAGCAGTAATGCACACGAAGAGACTCAGAAAACTGCTCTATCAGCTACAGAGCAAACGATACTACAGGTGAACAGCAGCACACATTTTTCTTGTCCTCCACAAGGAATATTCAACAAAATAATCACAGATGGTATGTGAAATAAGAAATGTAAGTGGGGAGAAAATGAGAAATATATGTGATGAGTACTAAACCACGGGTAACAGATCATGGCTTAATCTGTTTACGTCAGATGACAAGCTCAGTTATAAGCAATGTGTGGACAGATCAAATCTTCCTTCTGCCTTTCCAAATCAAAATATTGCTTATGAAGTTTACAGTCCAATGTTTTTCATGTATTCTAATGTTAAATTTGAGGAATTAGAAGCATCATAAAAGTCTGTTATTTAAGACTTTCTTTTGACATTTAGTCTTAAGTTAGCTAGAAATAACATTATAGTCCTAACAGCATTATGCCCCCAATTTTTTGTTTGTTTGCTGTTGCTTTTTGAGACAGAGTTTCCCTGTAGCCCCAGCTGGCCTGGAACTTGTTCCGTAGACCAGGCTGGCCTCACAGAGGTCCATCTGTATCTGCTTCTGGAGTGTTGGGATTAAAAGTGTGCTGTACAATGCCCAGCTCATAGGTCCCAATTTTTGAACAGCTGAAGCTTGCTTTCCCTCTAGAATTTTAAGGTCTCTTATTGCTGCTGAATAGTCATGAAGAGGATTTTTTATTGTTTTGTTTCTTTATAAATATTTTATATGCTTAAACTCAGAGATTTTGGCCACCAGGTATATATAACCTGTAGAGAACAAAAATTAGAATAAATATGATGAAGTATGAATAAACTGAAATTTCATTTTTCATATATTCTTATTTGATTCTTACTATCTTAAACTTTTAAAAGCAAATTTTATTCATTGATATTTTTTTTATTAGTTAGGGCTGCTTCTTAATTAACATCAGGGTTTTGAAGAGCATGAGTCAAGCTTTTCTCTGAACTTGGAAAGTCTTTATCTAGCAGTGTAAATTATTGGCCATCCTATATCAGTACACTTTCTGCACATAGCTCTTCCACATATGTGCCCATGACCTTGTCTGTTTAATGGGCAGTTTCTAGTGGCCATGGTTATGAGAAACAGGAAAGTTAACCACTGCACACTGTACTGCAGGGTTCTCAGGGACTAACCAAAGAGTTCTATAACGTCAGTACTGAAACTTCAAACTTACATTAGTAACTCATTTCCCCATTTGTTTTTCATGTTTGGTTTTGTAGTTTTAGAGAAATTTCTAGGAAAAGGAGATTTCAGAGCTTCCTTGTTCCTATTCAGGATATACATTCATTATGCTCTTTTTCCAAGCCTCCCTCCTTTCCCTCTTTTAAACACACACCACCTAGGTTCTCACTGGTTCCTAAATATACACAGAATACAGAATCTCGATATCTATATGTGCTTAGAACATGTTCACTATCAGGAGTTCCACTCTGCCCATATGGAATAATTGATATATATTTACCTATAACTAGAATGAAATAACCAGACCCTAAAACAGCATATGCTTTGAATAATAGAGGAGACCAACTGAGGTTTCCATGAACATGATCGTTTATTCCCTGGAACCACAGAAAAGACACATTAAATATTCACAAGAACTCTAAAACTTCTCTTGTGCTTGAATCAGTCTCATTAGATTTAACCACATGCTTATATACTTTGTGTTGGAGGTGGCTTGCCTAATGACAAAGAATTGGATATTCTAGGGTAGGGGGTATAGGCTACATTGCTTTTTTGTTCATTATTTTTTAATTATTTTAAAATTGTGTGTGTGTGTGTGTGCGTGCGTGTGTGTGTGTGTGTGTGTGTGTGTGTGTGTGTGTGACAGAGAGGTCAGAGGGCAACTTTTGCGAGTCAGTTCTCATCTTCCACAGTGGGCCCTGGGGATTGAACTTAGGTTTTCAGGCTTGCCAGGCAAGTGCCCACTGACCCATCTCACAAATGCTCTTTTTGTTTCTTTTAAAACCTACTTTCCATAAATATCCAAGCATATTTTCAGGTAGTTGATTTTTCTTTAAATGAAAACCTTTTTTCAACTTTTTTTGAGCTTCTTAATCAAATAAGAACTTTTTACATACTTCACAAGATTTTAAGATAACCTCAGGGCCGAATTTCTCCATTAAAATCATATCAGTCTCATGAGGATAGCAGCCTTGGAACTTTAATGTTCAGAAGTAATATTCCAGACACTTCCAATTTCTGGTGCTATAGTAAGCAACTTAAAAGTCATCACTCTATCATAACAACAAACACAAAACCAAAAGTCAACTCTTTTTTGCTCCACAGAAGTGAATCACAGGGCAAACTGCTACCCAAAGCTTGCAAATGCAGACACAGAGATGCCGAGAATCACAATTTATAGAAATCTCTGTTGGAGCCAGGAGCAGGATAAGAAAGCCTTGACTGTGACTGACAAATTCTTTGGACACGTCAAAACACTCAATAAGGGGCTCAGCGATGAAACAAAGGGCCATACTTTTATAACTTTTACCTTCTAGAACCAACCAGGATGGTAGAAAGTAATCTTTGTGAAATACATCACTGCATCCTGTTCCTACCAAGGCCCACTCTCAAGAGAAACTATTTACTATAAGAGTTTTATTACAGCCTAACAAACCTAGGGGAATGGAATCCAATTCTAGCCACCTTTGGTCATTTGTCTAGAAGAAGGAAAATACCCATCTCTAGCATCCTCTGACAATGCTGTACTAATTAAGGAATTTTTTTTAAGTTTATATACTTCATAACCCATAGGTGTTGGCTACAGGACTATAGGACTAGGCTTTCTAAGACTTTACCATCATATTAGTAAAGGCTTACTTACCACTGGTCCTTCTCTATAATATAGCATGTTCACCTTTCTGCTGAAATGTGTCATTTTAAAGGCACCGTGCTTGAAGAGAAAGATGAATGATCACAACTAGACCCAAATAGAATAGGGATACTGGAATTATCAGACTGTGGATTTAGAAAAGTGTGACTAATATGCTGGTCTGTAGAGAAGATGTAAAAATATTGGGGTATTATAAGCCAAGAGAGGAAACTTGTGGAGAAGAAATGGCACATATCAAAACACTGAGGCAAAAATGAATAGATACTTTTGATTGGCTTGTTAGTGAACTGACCCGGCTGAGAAAGACGCTATGAGCTTAAGAATATAGACACTTCCAAAACAAAGTTAAGGACAAAGGAGCTGAAGAATTCAAGCAAAATGTCTGAAAACTGTAAGAGTTACACATCAGTGAGGAGTGTCAGGAAGAGTGTACTAGGAAGTAACAAAGGCTTGAGAAAAAACAGCTGAAGAATTTCCCCACTGAGAGTCAGACTCCTAGTGACATTCTGAAGCTCACAGAATACCATATAGGAAAAGAGAACATGGGCAGGGGTCGGGGTGGAATCTACCTACATCTAGGAATATCATGATTCAAACTTAAGGAAATGAAAGGAAATATCTTGAAAGAAGACAAAAGAAAAACCTTGCCTATACAGGAGTAATTCCATCCAGTTTCTCCTCAGAAGTGATGTAAGCGAGAATATTTAGTATGTAGAGAAGAAAAAGAAACACTAGCCCAGAATTCTATCCCTTATGAAATTATCCTTCAGAAATCAAGGAGCAATAAAGTACTTTTTGAATTAAAAAAAAGTTAAGACACATTGGTGCCAGTAGACTTGCCCTGCAAGAGATGTTAAGAGGTTTTCAGATAGAAGGAAAGTTTTATGTAGGCTCAGATCTACATAAAAGCTCAGATCTACATAAAAGAGGGGGAAATTTGAGAAAAACTGAAGATAAAGATGCTTGTATTTTCTTTATCAAACAGGCAAATTTATTCAAAACAACTGTGTTTGATAATTATGTATATGTATGTGTGAACTGAATGCTAGCAATGATAAAAGAAATGGAACAGAAAAATACTTGATTATAGTCATTGCTGAGTAAGGACTTTTGGTCAGTGGTAGACTATCTATACAATATGGTCCTGCTAGATTATAGTTGCACTAAAATATTCCTATTATCTAGTAATGTTATAGCACTGTACTATAACACACAACTCCTGTGCTTGTGATGATGCTGGTATAAACAAAGCTCCAATCATGTACAAGTATATACAACCTAAATTAGTACAGAAGGGCCAGTGAGATGGCTCAGGAGTAAGAATTTTTACTCTGCAAGCATGAGGGCCTGAGTTCAAATCTACAGCACCCACATAAAAAGTTGGGCATGGCTGCCAGTGCCTGTAATCTCAGCACTAGGGGGCAGAGAGAGGTAGATTCTGAGCGCTCACTGGCCAGCCAGCCACTCTAGCAGACACAGTGAACTTCTGGTTCAGTACAGATCCTGTCTCAAAGCAATAAGATGGAGAGCAATAATGCCAGGTGTGGTGGCACACACCTTTGATCCAGGCACTAAGGAGGCAGAGGCAGGCAGATCTCTGTGAATTGAAGGCCACCCTGGTCTACATAATGAGTTCCAGGCTAGCCAGGGTTACATGCTGAGACCTGTCTCAAAAAACAAAGCAAAGATGGAGAGCAATAGAGGAAGACACCCCGTGACCTACTCTTGCATTTTCATGCATGAATATGGACATACACACCTACACATATGCAATATGCACACACACACCATGCGCAATAAATATAGAATACTTAATCATAATAGTAACTAGGACTGGAGAGATGGTTCAGCGGCTTTGAGCACTGACTGTTCTTGCAGAGGACCCGGGTTTGATTCCCAGCACCCGCATGGCAGCTAACAACCGTCTGTAACTCCAGTTCCAGAATCTGATGCCCTCTTCTGACCTCCATGGGCATTGCATGACACAGGTGTACTTACACACATGCAGGCAATACACTCATACACATAAAATAATAAATAAAATATTTAAAAAATAATAAGTGTAGTCTATTGTATTTACTGTCATATTTTAGAGTGTATTCCTATTTATAAAAAACTTTACTATAGGACTGGAGTGACGCCTCAGCAGTTAAGAGCACTGGCTGCTCTTGCAGAACATCCAAGTTCAAATCCCAGCACTCATGTGGTGGCTAACAATTATCCATAATTCCAGTTCCAAGGGATCCAACACCCTCTTCTGTCC